ACAACCCAAGTGTCAGTAAATGGATTACTGAATAAACAAAATGTGGTATATGCAATAAATGGAATATTATTCAGCCACAAAACAAATGAAATTCTGACACTTGCTACCACATGGATAAAACTTGAAAACATCATGCTCAGTGAAAGAAGCCAGCACAGGGGCCAAGGGAAGACATCTCTTTCAACCTCCTGAAGGTTCTCTGAAAAATCAACTCACAAACACAGGTTAATAAGAAAAAGAGGCATCACAAATTTATTTGATCATAGTTTTACGTGACATGAAAGACATTAGAATGAAAACCCAAAGATACAGGGAAAACTGTCCATTTCATGCTGAGCTTCTATGGAGCAGGGGCAGCCATGTAGAAATGTGACTGGACAAGAAAAGTATCATCTAATGCTAATGCACTGAGTGGGGGCACCCATCAGGGCCTGTCTGTCCGGACTCTTATGGCCTCTCTGCGTAGCATTCTTTCCTCCAATATGTGGGGCAGGACCCTTTCGGGTACTGGGGGTCTTATGACCTACCATCTGACAAAGTGGGTCAGAGAATTTCTTTACCATACTTTTGTGTTAGCTCAAGTCAGATACTGCCTTTATTGCAAGTCCAGTATTGGACAATGTCAACCACATTTGAGTTCCCGTGACAAAAGGCGTATGAAATTCAAACACGTGCCAAGGTCACTAAAACACTTCCTTTCCAGGATGCATGCAATTGGGTAACACAACAGTCATGTTCTCCTAACTCTTCTAGAATTAAGCATCCCATGGATGAGGCCACAAATGAGTTTCTCTATGCTCAGTTCCGGGACGCTGGGTGATGCTAGCATGAGGCTCCCAGGTACTTGAAGAAATCCAGATCACAAATAGAACACTAATGAGTGCTGCAGTTAGGAGAGCTAGCTCCACATAAACAGGTATTTAGAGGTGAGGTGGAAAGTGTGAATGGAGCCCTAATTAATGCATGTGTTAATTGTGCTTCCCTGCAATTGGAAAATTAACCCTAAAGATATTTTTTCTTTTTCTTTTTTGCCCTCCCCCCCCCCCTTTTTTTTTTTTTTTTTTTTTTTGAAAGAGATTTTAAAAGCTTTTGTGTGTTCCTGGTAGGTTGAACAAGTGGGACTCATTGGTTGCAAAAGAAAATAGCTTCATCTTCCCCCACAGCTGGTTCAAACCTGACTGTAAGGCAAGCCTCTTGACTTGCCTGTACTCTCTCTCCTGGTTAGAATTTAAAATGTCCAGTCCTGAGTAAGAGTCAAATCCCCAAAGTTACAGGTCCTCCCTGCCCCCAGTTCCGGGTGGGGAGGGAGCTGGGAGTGGGACACGGTTTCCACTGGGGCGTTCCTCTGCTGTCTGGCTGCACTTTCTGCCTCCTCCAGGTGGGTGGTGGGGAAGGAATAAGATACAGGAGGGGGACAGGTGAGGTTCAACTGGACTGGTAGGTCACTGGCTGGCCTTGTTGCTCCCAGGGTTTAGCAGAAATAAAGCTTATCACATGGGGCACTTTAGGGGTTTTTCAAGACTCCTCTAACGTGAGGATATCATGGTGCTGTTCTTTTGATTCCAGTGAAAACACCTCCTCTGGCTGGCCTTTGACTTGTAATTCTATCTCCAGCTCCTGGAGATGAGGTGTTAATAAGCCCCAGACCTCTTCCTAGGAGGTCTTCCGCCTCCAGGTGGTCCTGTTGGGAGGACCTAAGACACCTGGTCTGCGGAAGCTCCCACCTTGGACAGGCTGCCAGGGAAAGAATATTGCCACCAGGGCTGCTCCAGCCAGGCCCCCTCCCCGGGCACTGCGTCCCAGACCTCTCTATGAGAGTCCTGTCAGTGGCGGTAAGGGGGAAGCAACCCCCCGCTCCTCCACGTGGGGGCGATGCTCGCAAGACACTGACCGCTTTCTCTGTAAACTTTCCCTAATCTCAAATTTGCTGGACGCTTTTTCTTCCTCAAAGTAGTTGTTATGCTAATGGATGCAAAACTGTTCTCTGACTCCCTTCTTTGCAAGTATGCTGCATCACCCACACCTCAGTCAGGAACTGGGAATAATTGGTGTATAAAGACTGGGACCCCATTTTATCCGGGGGGGGGGTGTTTCTTTTGGTTTTTTGGTTTTTGGCATCTGGCAAGCAAGGGGGATCCAAACCCTTGACTTTGGTGTTATCAGCACCACGCTTTAACCAAGTGAGCTAACCGGCCAGTCCACCTAGTCCCACTTTAACGTCCCGTTACACCCGTTTTATTTTGTATTTTTATCAAAGCATAATTGATTACACATATTTGTGGGGTACAGAGTTGAATATCAGTACCTGTGTACAATGCGTAATGATCAAGTCAGGATAATTTGCATGTTCATTGTTAGAAAACATAATCATTCTTTGTGTCCATTAACCAATTTCTTGCTAATTCCCTGCCCTCTCCCCCTTTCCCACCTCTAGTAACCATAGTTCTGTTCTCTCCTTCTGAAAGCTCAACGTATTATTGTGATTGTTATTTCATTCATTTATTCATTCATCAGCTCCCACTTATGAGTGAGGACACGTGATATTTCTCTTTCCATGCCTGGTTTGTTTCACTTAACATAATTTTCTCCAAGCTCATCCATGTTGCTGCAAATGGCAGAATTTCATTCTTTCTTTTTTACAGTCGACTAGTATTCTATTGGTTATATATGCCACATTTTCTCTATCCAGTCATCTGTTGAAAGACGTATAGGTTGATTCCAACTTCTGGCTCTTGTGAATAGAGCTGAGATTTAACATAATTTTCTCCAAGCTCATCCATGTTGCTGCAAATGGCAGAATTTCATTCTTTCTTTTTTACAGTCGACTAGTATTCTATTGTTTATATATGCCACATTTTCTCTATCCAGTCATCTGTTGAAAGACGTATAGGTTGATTCCAACTTTTGGCTCTTGTGAATAGAGCTGAGATAAACATGGGGGTGCAGGTATCCCTTTGACATGATGATTTCCATTCCTTTGGGTACACACACCCAGTAGTGGGGTTGCTGGATTGTATGGTAGTTCCAGCTGTAGTTGTTTGAGAAACCTCCATACTGTTTTCCATGATGGCTGTGCTAATTTACAGTCCCATCAACATACACACGCTTGTAATGACCAAAGAATTGAGTGCAAAGCAAGGATTTCTTTTTTTTTCTTCTTCTTCTTCATATTTTAAGAGTTTGGCTTAATACTAAATACTAATACTAAATCTAAAAGGTGAAAAGTTCTCAGCAGAGCTCAAAGGACCCCTGTGAATCACTGAGCAACACCAGGAGGCCCAGAAAATTGCTCAAAAACATGAGTCACTGTTAAGAGCTCCAGCAGTTAATAAAGGTCTTTATGGCCCACATGATGCATCAACAAACCGGATTTCCGCTTGGTCGGATGAGTTTTGTCAGCGATGTTAATGACCTCACGGATGCCCTCCTTCCCGGTAGTGCAATACAGGTGTGGTCTCTTTCCTCTCCTCACCGAATGAAGGGAGAGGGCACCTTCTCAGACCATCTCAGCAACATTTACCACCTCGGCTAGGAGGTGGGCATTGGCAGGCACCCCTCACCCAGCACAGTAGGATCTAGACAAAGCCTGACGAATTACGACCTAAGGATGAAGGAGGGAGACCCACGGAGACCAGGAATTTATTCTTCAAGGAGTTTACTCTTTTTCTTAAAAACATTCTTTTAATTAGATTTTGGATATAAAAACAAAATCAATCTGCTGCTGTATTTTATTACTCTTCTGTTACGTTAGATTGTGCCCTTGGTGGCTTAGAACTGTAATGAGTAGAGTCAATAAAACAAAATAGCAGCCATCTTAAAATTGTTTATATTTTTAAAAAAGTGGGCCACTAACATCCTCTGTTAGAAAAGGCGGGGTTCCCTAATCTACAAGGTAAAAGAATAGAGAGTTCTATGGAGGCTACTTGCCTACCCCATATCCATTCTCCCCTTCTTTGTTAGTAACAGAACCTTGATTTTATTGAGTGTGGCAATATACACAGCTCTAACACTGCATTTCCAAGCTTCTCTTGCAGCCAAATGTGGCCATGTGACTAAGTTCTGACCAACGAGATGTATGCAGAAGTTGTCAGGTAGAATTTTTAACAAGGGAGACGGATGGCTGGCATGTGCTTTTTTCATATTCTTCCTCCCCCACCCATTAACTCTTGCTTCTTGCATGGAATGCTGATGTGACAGCTGGAGCTACAGCAACTCTATGGGCTCATGAAGCGACTGTGAGAATGGAAGTCACAGGTTAAGAATGACAGAAGAGAAAAGTAGGAGGAGCCAGGGTCCCAGATGACACTGTGGAGACAGCATAACAGCCAGGGACCTCTGAAATATTTTTATGTGATAGAGAAATAAACTTCTATTTTGTTTAAGACTTTATTTCCAGCTTCTGTCATTTACACAGTTCACATTGGTTACATCTGTTATAAAGGATCACTTAGGCACCAGTCATCTTATTTTACCTATTCTGTATTGCATCTTGCCTTTTTTGGGGGGAGAGGGGGACGTCTGGCTGGCACAGGGGATGCAAACCCTTGACCTTGCTGTTACAAGGCTGTGCTCTAACCAGCTGAGCTAACTGGCTAGCCTGACTCTTACCTTCTTAAACCAAGCAATAGTGAACATAGGGTTGCAAGATAAAATACAGAATGCCCAGTCAAATTTGAATTTCAAATAAACAACAAATAATTTTTTATTAAGAGCATGTTTCAAATATCGCATGGGACATACTTATGATAAAAAGTAATTCATTGTTTATCTGAGATTCAAATTTAACTGGGAGTCCTGTAATTTTCTTTTGTAACTCTGCTAGCCCTAACTGAATAGACTCTTTTTCCGCTGTTACCTATGTTGCTATGTGCAGTGATGGATAAGAAGCCTGCTAAGGTATATATGGCTCTCAGCTCTTATATGAAACAGGTCCAGAGTGCCATTTTTTTTTTTCTTATTCCAGTCTTTATAATGTTTCTGTTTCTTCCTGGCTGTTAGAGATGGCCCCGTCTGCCACTGCTCTGAGCATGCCTGCCTGCCTGTCGGAGCCCTTCCCCATTCATGGTGTGCCCTGGTCATCTTGGGTGGGCAACGTTCAGAGCTCGTTCCCTAGAACCAGAAGCTGGATTGACAATGGGTCCCCCCACTATTAGCTCTATGACCTTGGGCAAGTCATTTGACCTGTGTGAGCTTGGATTCCTTCCTATATAACATGAGGGGAGAGTCAGAGCTGCCTGAGGGTGATGTGAGGGTTAAATATGTTCAGGATGAAGACTATGCTTGGGGCAGCTCCTGGGCCTTAGGAAGCAATCAGTAAATGGGTGCAGCTGCCATGCGGTGGGCTTAGCAACCAGATAACCAAGTTGCATAAACAGGATCTGCGGAGAGAAATTCTATGAGTAAAACATGAGCAATAGGGGTGTTGAGGTTCCTGGGAGGAAGGGCCAGGGAGGGAGGCTGCAGGTGGGCCCTGAAATCAGAGGAGAGTGGAGCCGGAGGTCCAAGCCAGCCCAGGATGGGGGTTAAGTGGAGAGCATGGGTATTGTCATGGGCTGAAATGTGCCCCCACAAAATTCATATGTTGAAGCGCTACCCCCAGTACCTCAGAATGTGACTATATTTACAGAAGCAATTAAGTTAAAGTCATTAGGGTGGGCCCTAATCCAATCTGACTGCTGTGCTTAGAAGAAGAGAACTTTAGGACACAGACATGTACAGAGGGACGACCATGTGAGGACACAGGGAGGAGACAGCCATCTGCAAGCCAAGGAGAAAGGCCTCAGGAGAAATCAACCCTGCTGACACCTTGATCTTGACTTTCAGCCTCCGGAACTGTGAGAAAATCAGTTTCTGGTGTTTCAGCCACCCCGTCTGTGGTACTTTCTTACGTTGGCCCAAGCAAACTAATACAAGTGTCAAAAAAGAATGTTGTGGAAAGACAGCAATAGACTGAGCACCCAGGGGCAGCCACTCGTCCCTTCACCCAACAGATGCTGCTGTTATGGTTGTTATCTGTTACTGATGCCAGGTGCTCTCTCGGGCACAGGTTGTCTGGAGGTGAAGGAAGCCAACAAGGCCCTGCCTGCCCTCACAGCGCTGGCCTTCCAGCGAGAGGAGATGGGCCACAAGGGGAGTGACAAACCCGAGACTCCAGACAGCAGCAGACGCTGGGAAGAAGGTGGGGAGCAGGCAGAGGAGGATCCCCAGAGAGCATGGGCCAAAGAGGCCTCTCAGAGGAGAGGGCACCAGGCTGACCCCTAGAGGAGGGAAGGGGCTGGGTGGGCACGTTAAAGAACCCAAAGGAGGCCGCCACTGCTGGAGCTGAGCAAGGGAAGGAGAGGGTGCCCGGAGGAGGCAGCGGCTGGACCTCATGGCCTCATGGCCTTGGTGAGGCATCTGTGTTTTATCTAAGACGAGGACAGCTCTGGGGGTGTGGAGCCACAGAGAGATTGGCAGGGATGACTTCCATGGGCTGTGATCTGGAGAGCTGTCATGTGGGCTTGTGGGAAGCTAGCTTTCACTTATGGGTGGAAATTACAAGTCTCCGAGTGGTGGAGGTTATAGGTTTGCCTGGGATTGATGAGCAACGCCACTGGGCACAGACGGAGAAGAAAGGGAACGTCTTCCTTCCTTGCTTCCCTCCCTCCCTCCCTCCCCCCTTTCCTTCCTTCCTTCCCTTCCTTTACAAATATTTATGGAGCCCCCATGTGCCTAGTAAACAAATAAGCTAAGTGCTTAGTGTCAGATGCTAAGAAGAGAAATGACGCTGGGCAATGGGCAGAGTGACAAGGAGGTGCTGGGGTGCTGATTTGAAGACATCAGTCAGGGGAGAACCCTCTGATAAGGGGACATTAGGGCACAGACCAAGAGAAGTGGGCTCCTTGGGCAGAGTGGAAGGTGCTCATGGCTGAGATGGTCATGTAAAGGACCCCCAGGAAGGCTTCCCTGCATTGCAAATAGTTTTCATTTGGCTGCAAGGGCCTAAAGATGCACCTACTGTTCCTCTGCAGTTAAAGTTTCTTTATTCTTCTGCTAAACACAGGCACCCTAGGAAAGAATCTCCGCGTAAGCCAGCTAACCCCCAGCATCTTAGCAAAGACACATTAATGATATGTGGAGTACAAGCTAAACCTTAGTTTGTTCGGGGAAAAGGGAAGGGAGCAAGGACTTTGTCCAGCGTGGACAGAATTTGTGTATCTCCACTGCTCTGCACACAGTAGGTGCTCAATAAACACTTATGAAACGAGCGAGTGAGGAAACCCACAGAGTGGGCCGATTGGTATATGAACACTTATCATTCTGCTTAGATATACCAAGAGCCAGATTGGGAGGACAGGGGTTGTCATCCCACAGCTGAGGGTGAAGAAACAAGAGGAAGAAATAACGCGACTGTTCGGGTGGAAGAGTTCTTACTAATCACAAAATGCACTTGGCTTTGTCACCTCCGTGCCCTCGTGTGGAATTGCTCAGAGTAGAACGAACTCCATGGGGTGCAGTTATCCACTTGAACCATGTCAGAGGCTCAGGGCGGGGAAAGCCTTTATCTTCTGTTGACGATGAAAGCTGCCATCTTGCTCCCCTCTCCGGCGACTGTGGTTTTGCGTTGGTGGAGAAAAGGCCGAGCACATTGAGGTCATCAAAGAAGGCTTTACTCATCCGGAAAGAGAAGCCACTGTGATGCATTCAGCCCTCTCCAGTCCCAACCCAGATGTTTTGCTCTCTAAAGGTCGAGGGACTTTTTATGATTTAAGACACAAGGAATCTCCTGATCTGGGTGGTAATCTTCAGCTTAGCACTCCCGGCCGTCCGGAGGTTCGGCCTCATCCTAAAAAGGGAAAGACCCTGCAATCAACTGTAGAGGTGATGCTTTAGAACAACTTCCAGACAGAACACTTCCGCCAGCTTTAACCTAGTTTTCTCCTGCTGTTACTGAAAATAAAAGAGACAATGGGATTGTTGCATATTAACCCCACAAAAGGCAGCTGATGAAAAGCACTTCCACCCCCGTGTGTGCAAACTGCTCCTTGCCACTGTAGGAGACCCAAACAGGAACTAGACTTCACACATTTTTTTTTAACAAGGCCTAAGTTGACAGGGTCATTTGCATGCCAAAGCTCCAAAGTTGTAGGGGCTAAGATGAAATCTAGTAAATATTAGAACTTGCTCTTGAAGGAAGGGAAAGGATCACTGGGTTTGTCAAAACATGGCATGGGAAAGGGGAGGTCAAATGCAAGGACCCCCAACGTCGACAGTGTCCTAAAGACCCCCATTGTCCTGACATTTCTTCTTTCTTTTTGATTTAAAAATAAATTCTTGCTTCCTGTTAATTATTGCCCCGACAGGTGTTTTGTGATCACTACTGACCAAGCTAGATATGCAGGAATGTCACCCCTCGATTCCTAGGATGACCTGATGTGCGGATCTGTGCACTTAATCTTTCTGAGTCTCTCCGGTGTATTCATGCAGCAGAGCTGATCCCTGGTAAGGATGGCAAAGGCGGAGGCCCATAGTTAGAGCAGCCCAGAGCATACACCCCAAATGCCCAAAAAACAGCAGTAAAAGACACACATTGGAGATGTGCGTTGGATAGAAAATCAACACTGTAAAGTTGAGACAGGAGAATCTTGCAGTCCCAGTGCAATTAAGCAGAAGTGCGGCTAAAAGCACAAATTCTGGAGTCAAATGGCCTAAATCCTGCACTTAGTGGCTGTGTGACCCGAACCTCTTTGTGCCTTTGTTTCCTCAACTGTCAAGTGGGGGTGATAATGATGGTATCTACTTCAAAGTGTTGCAAGAATTAAATAAGTCAGCACAAGGAAAGCACTAGAAAGAGGCCAAGAATTCAGTAGATGTAACTATTAACTTTTTATAACCAAAGGCATCCATGTATGGCACCTTTACAGATTGGGATGGGGTTGGTGGCTGTCACATTTTTTTGCCATTGTTCTCCTATGAAAACTTTCATTGGATGATGTAGTGGGTTGAATTATGGCCCCAAGAGGTAGGTCAATCTGGAACCTGTGAATATGACATTATTTGAGAAAAGGGTCTTTGCAGGAGCAATGAAGTTAAGGATAGGGAGATGAGACCATCCTGGGTCAGAGTGGGCCCTATATCCCATGACAAGTGTCTTTATAAGAGAACAGAACAAAAGAGAAGGGAGGAAGACAAGCAGAGGAGAACACCACATGAAGACAGGGACAGGCGTGGGAGCGGTGTGTCTGCAAGCCAAGGAACGCCAAGGCTGCTGGCAGTCACCAGAAGCCAGGAGAGAGGCATGGGACAGTTTCTCCCACAGAGCTTCCAGAAGGAACCAATCCTGCTGACACCTTGATTTTGAACTTTTGGCCTCCAAAACCATGAGACAGTAAATTTCTGTTGTTTTAAGCCACGCTGTTTGTCGTAATTTGTTAGGGCAGCCCAGGGAAACTAATGCAGATGACATTCTGGGTCTCAAAATTGGAGGGGACTGAGGATTGCCTTGCATCTAATCTTGCCTCTGGCTGCAAGAAAACTATTTGGTGTTTTTCCTGCTTTCAAAGATTTGAAATTCTGTCAAGGGTCTGGATACTGTTACTGGCCAGCTGCCAAAAAAAAAAAAAAATTGAAATTCCTCACCTTAAGCCTGCATTTCATCTATCATATAATCTATGATATCATCTAAGGGGGGAGCAGCAGTGGTGGTGGTAAACTGAGTCACAGAACAGAGAGGTGATCACCAAGGTCACATGAGGAAGTGGCAGAGACAGGCCACTCACCCAAAGGGTGTGGTGACAGGTACAGCAAGAAGATCACAGGGCGAAGAATCTAAAGACCCAATTTCTAATCCAGGTGCTGCATCTTACTGGCCAGGCGACCTCGGGTGAGCTTCTGCATTTCTCAGGTCTCAGTTTCCCCACCGGTGAAATGGAAGGATTGGGCTACCTGCTCTCTAGGTTCCCTTCCACTGCAACACCCCAGGGTGCAGTGAGGAGGAGGAGGAGAGTGCAGATAGCCTGATCGTGGCAGGTCCTTGGCTCTGTCGGCCAGCATTACGCATGCTGCACAGCCTCACCTGTCCGACAAAGCCTCAAGTAAGCAAGGTGGGTGAGGGCGGCCAGCGTGACACTGTGCCCATGCTGGCCCTGGTGCACTGCAGCAGTGTGGCTGTGTCCCAGACAGGATGCAGGCAGCAGAGCCTCCTAGTCTGTTTAGAAACAAGTCACACACTCCTGATCTTACTCAGTAATGAAACGTACACGAAATTGATGCATTGGTCCTTCCAAACAATTTATTTAGAAGGGGAGTCTAAAC